ATGATGGTTTATTACGGTTATGTCTATCACTTGTTTAATTATGGTGTGATCTTCTGGGGAAATTCAGATAGGAGAAAAAAAGTTTTTAAAATGCAGAAGAGAATTATCCGTATTATTTTTGGACTTAAAGGAAAAAAATCCTGTAAGAGTATTTTTAAAAATCACAAAATTCTTACTTTTCCCAGTATATACATATATAATTTAATTTTGTACATAAGACAACATTTATCAAATTTTCCAAGTAACTCTGATTTTCACAACTATAACACACGACAAAAGAATAGCCTTACATACCCTAGACATAATACCTCCACCATTGAACATTCTCCATACTACTCTGGTATAAAATTGTATAATAGCCTGCCTAGCACCATAAAGGGTTTGACAGATTTTAAAAGATTTAAAACCAGTTTATTCAAATTGTTGTCAGATAAATGCTGCTACAAGATTGGGGACTTTTTCAATTAGCTATTAGTATGTCAAATCAATAGTTAGTTGTAATGGTTGAACAGTAAGTAGTTGTAGGGGAGAAAGTGTATATAGATTATAGCTCTTAATTAATTAGTGCTGTAAATTTGCCAAATGTATAGTTATGTTTATTCTTGACTTGACACAATTCATGTATAGAAATGTACTGTTTGAATAAAGGATTTTTTGATTTGATTTGATAAGTATTTTACCAAAAATTACACTTTATTATTACCCTCCTTGTATTAACAAACCTAGGTACTCGATAAACCTAATGTTATTAAAATACATTTAAGTGAAAATCAAATAAGGCAAGTAGAAATTCACTTAGTCGGCAGGTTTGCTGCGGTGGAGGTAATTTTTAATGAAAATTGGTATTTACTGAATGTTTGAGATAAAAGAGTCCCATATAAAAAAAAAAAACTTTCATTCGATGTAAAACTTGAAAATGGGGACTCTCTAAAGGTTATTTTAAAGTTAATATTCATAAAAAAAAGCAACCAAATAAAAATTTACAAGACATTATTGCATTTAAATCCAAGTTCAATACCACTTAGAATGTAAAGATAGGCCACACTTTAAGTTTTAAGATTGGTTTCAACTAACTTACAGCATAGCAGAATCCATGACTACAAGTTCTGTATTGAGTACTGAATTCTTCAGGTATTAGTTAGCGACTTGTATCTCAAGTAACAGTCTAATGAACACCAACAAGCTGTAGAAATTATGCAGGAATGCCATCAGGGCTAGGTGCTCTTCCATTTCTAAGGAATGGGACAGCGGAGGAAAGTCCCTCTTCCCGAAAGGCTGGTAACGCGTCCTAATCTCCAAATTCCCTCGCTGGTGGTGGATGCTTTGGAAATAACGCTTCAATGACAGTAGCAACGGTGACAGGTTTCATGACTGTAGTTGGTGATCAAGTCCCTATCATTTGGGTTACAATCTTGTAGCCCATCACTCAAGAATTGTTCTGGATGTCCTGACAGTTGCTTCCAGCACCTGACGTTACTCCAGTTGATAGCACTATATGGGGATCTTGAATTGCGGCCTTGAGCTCTGCCGATCTAGCTTCAGGCCAGTTTCTGGCATGGTGCGCTGCTCGTTGGAGCTCAAGGCATATTCTCCAGGGTTCTACAATCTTGGGTTTCCACCAGTTAACTGGCTTCTTTCTGCGGTGGCAAAAATCCTAGGCATGGAACGATCAAATGCCGGAGATGGTGGAACGCATTGTCAACGTAGCTTGAAATTAGGCACTTCCAATGTCCCCAGCAGGCTAATTTTTTATGTAACCCTGAAATGTGCCCTGGCAAAGACAACTGAGATACATTGAGATGGATGAACTGAGCTGGCATATTATTTGCCCAGCTCAGGCAAGTTCAGGAATATCCTTGAAGAAAATTGCCAGATAAGTCGCTTGCAGAGTAGTCCTCAGAGACTCTCCTATCAGTGACCGGTGGGCTAGGGCTTCAGATGCCAGAGAGATGTCAGGGACCATCTTTCCATGCCGGGGGTGACGGATGTTGGAAACGTCACCTGTGTTTAGGATATAGAGAGCTAGCCTGGCTGCCCTCTCTAAAACATACCGCCTTCCTGTGTTTGTTTCACATTCCACCACACTAGCATTAAAATCCCTCCAAACAGTCACCTCACCATCGATGCTTAGGATCTCGTCCTCTAGAGAGTCGAACATTTGACAGTACTCTCCAATTGTGTGTGAAGTTGTAGGAGGGAAAAAAATACTTGATATTTAGAAAATACTTCTTCATAGTAATTTTGCATTTAAAACTATTATGATAATGACTTAAAATATGAATCTAAATATGAAGTTTTAAAACTTTAAAACATTTGTTTTATCACTCGCACAACAAAATCAGCAGTTTCTGCTGGTTCAAAATAGTGTTTTCTCCTCCACCTCGCCACACAAGTTTTAAATTCTCATGTATTGTGATATGATTGTAATTCTTCTTATGGGTCATGTGAGAGATGTTCTTACACACTGCTGTACATTACAGCAATGAATCATCACAAATAATAATTGTTGGAGATTTTATTTATTAGATTGGCAAACCTATATTGCTTAGCATTTTCTAGCAATATTGCTGGTTTTAGTAATAAATTGAAATACATTCTTTGATTATACATCACGGAATTTGGAAAGATTTACCCGTTCTTTTAGTGGATTTTCTCAAACCTGTCTTATGACCTTGGACCAAAGTTTCCATGCATAAACCATCTCCCTGATTCCTGGTCCTAGCTGCTTTAATGACACAAGCCCAAAGTGCAGTAAAGAAACTGCTTTGGTGAAAAAGTATTGTCATACTGTAGATTTAACATACTCCCTTAGGGAGTTTGTTTCATCTATAGTATTATGGATTTAATAAGTGCCTTAGTTAAGTTAAAACTTCTTGAGCAGCTGATCAACTGATATGAATGTGGTTGATCTACTGTTAAATTACATATTTGTACCGTATGTATGAAATTGTCTTCGTTCATTCTCATACGCGACTTCGGAGCGTACTCCTAGTATTGTGCATTGACCATGTATATGCTTTTTGCACATTCAATTTTGTTTTAGCAAATCCTACTAATCCTACTAATATTATAAATGAGAAAGTTTGGATGTATGGATGGATGTATGGATGTATGTTTGTGACAAGTGAACGCGAAAAATACTGGACGGATTGGGCTGAAATTTGGCATGATGATAGCTCACATTCCCGATTAACATATAGGCATATTCTTATTTCAAAAATCCTTTCGGGCTCCGCCCCAGTGGCTCTGGAGTTTCCCATGTTAACCTTATGAGAAATGGAATTATCGAATCTTAAGGGGAGTCGCTACTGAAAAACTACCAATTTTGTAAAAAACTTGATTTTTTTTATTATTTTTTTATCTTGTTCTATGGATTGTAAGGTTTCAGAAAAACATAACATTTGGTATAATATATATTTTTTTCACTGTGAAAAAAATATTTGAAGTGAAGCGCGCACACCTCTTTTGGGGCATCAACTAGGCCTATATAAACCAACGTATAAACTTCAACCGCTGTTTTCCGCGACTTTAAAATTTTGTTTTTTTTTATATATAAGTTCTTATAACTTTTTAACTATTGCAGCTATATGAATGAAATTTTTACCACACATTGTTTATACTATAAATCAACTTTCTGTGCATGGATATTGTAATTGGGTAAATAAAAGTACATGAAAAAAAATTTATAAAAATTTATAACCTATAAATTTTTCAAAACCTTATTTTTGAAGCCATAACTTATAAACTAATTGAGAAAATAACATGAGTATGCACAGAAAGTAGGCTATGTGCTTTCCTTGCTCTTTAAAATAAGATATCGAACAATAAAATTGGTTCAGTAGTTAAATAGTTATAAGAGATTTAAAAAACCCCATTTTTCCCCGCCAAAAAACATAAAAAACTCCAAAAAGTATGTAAAAAATTTTTTTTTTACTTTAACGGCAGTAAATCTTTTTCTAAGACTAAATGAACTTAAAAAAGTATATATGATAATTTTTAAAAGGATTTTATTAAAAATCACTAGTTTCAGTAGCGACTCCCCTTAACAGCTGTTTCAATTAAACAAGTTGGTTCTGTTATATGATGTTCAATAGCATTAAAGTTACAAGGATTACCAACAGGGTACAGCACTATTATTTCTTTTACATTTATGACAACAGCTAATTTGCAACCATAAGGTGAGTGAGCGTAGCGAACGAACTTCAACCTGGAGGCGAGTTAGCGTAGCGAACGAGCTAACCTGAAGGCAAGTGAGCGCAGCGAACGAGCTCCAACCTAAAGGTGAGTGAGCGTAGCGAACGAGCTCCAACCTAAAGGTGAGTGAGCGTAGCGAACAAACTTCAACCAGGACGTGATTGAGCCATGCGAACGAGATAATCTTGAAAATTAAGAAGTTAAACGGGGCAAAGCCCGCGGGTTACAGCTAGTTTCTCAGAAAGAGAATAAGCTATTAGGTCTTATGGTAACACCTGGACCCTTGACTTATTTAATTTTAATTTGTTTTGTTTTGGTGCCACCAGAAGCCAAAAACACCATCCATCCAAATTCATAAGTGTCCGTTATCAAGATATGATCAGACTTTGGGAATGGCGTTTTACGGGGTAGACATTACTTTTTCCATTTTTATCCAGAGACTAATATATACACAATTATAGAACAAAATACAAAACATTGACATTTTTACCTATGTAGGATTTCTTGGAATGACTACTTTAGTATACAGTCAAGGGTGTAGCATAGAGCACAAGGGCGTAGATTTTTTTGGATTTTTTGAGAGGATAGCAGGCTTACCTGAATGGGAAAGAGTCCAAACTGGCACAGGAAACACAAAACAAAACTTTACACTATATACACAAAACATTAGAATATTTCACTGTCACTGACAGCATTTTCAACTAAGGAAGAGAGAGTTTTCTAGATGTCCAAAATGGTGGCCAGTGAGTTGTTGAGTCGATGTATACAGTCAATGTGTTTACCTTAATCGGCTACATTAAACTCACCTGGGCGGGTATGGGCAGCAGGGCGGCAGCTTTACACAGTCGCGGCAGAGCCAGCTCCAGATAGTCGGAGCCGCCCAGTGTCGGTATCTCCAAGGCGATGATGAGAGCGTTCAACACTGTCTCCAACGGACAGCCGCCGCCGTCTTCCATACTGCGTCCACAACCCGACATCTTCAGGTCCAGCTCCATGTTCTCTGTGAACAGTCGATTCATCAACATTGGAAATGAGTATATTCCGTACAGGAATAAATTTGTGTTGTTATATCATCATCGTCTCCTGCAGTTGCAGCGAAATCATCATAACTCCCATGATGAAGGTAATAAGCGTGAACATCACCTTCAGTCGCAGCGTAGTTGTCAATTTTAGTTTGGGCACAGATGTTTTCTGCGATCCCAAAAATAACGGCTCGGCTCAACCCGACCCGAGCATGGCCCACAAAATGTATCACGCCCTAACCAACCACTCAGGTCTTCTGCTAATTAAACCTGATTCTAAAATATCGGGGACCCGCACACCCCCTTCTTATTACACTAAACATCCATATAAATAAACTATGGATAAAAAATCTATGGATAAAAAATCTCAGGGTTGCAAACCTCAACAAATATTCTTACCTGAGAGGGTGACGAGCGCTTGGACGAGAGCGTTCTCATAGAGATTGCCCGACAAGGAGAACAGTTGTTGATAAGCTCTGCGTAGCGAGGCCAGGTCTATGTTGATCTTATCACTACAAGACTCCACCTCCCCTCTCTCCATGGCAACACTGTCTTGGTCCTTCTCCGTCTCACCCTCCAACTCCCTCACCTGTTACAAAACACAACAGTAAGTTCTTTGTAGTGAGACTAGCGAAGGTAGTTTGGAGCTTTCCGCTTGAACTGACACATTTACCAGCCTTTAAGTCCATAAAAATGTTGCAAACAGTGTGAAAGAGTCGGCTCTGTTATGTTCACACTGATCATTTCAGTAAATCACCGATCAACCAAAAAAAAGGGGGAGAAGTGGCAGTGCCGGATTTACCAACAACCAAAACGAGTCACAACGTCAAACAAAATGTTTAGAACCAATATGAAATTTTAATTTTATAATATTAATAATTTGCCACGATTGCCAATGAGGATGATGTCCCTGTGATTGCGGGATATTCACAATTTTGCCGCTGTCTAGGAAATTTCTGCATAAAAGGAGCTATGGCCGCTCAGGTTAATTTGGCCAAGGGCCGCAAATACCTTAAATCTAGCACTGATCAGTGGTAGGGATTTAAAGGCTATGCCTATTCAAAGAAATCTACAACAATAATCATGTTTATTTTTACCATCTTAAAATCTACAGTTGTACTTATGAAAAACCTAATACAGTAGAACCTCAATAATTAGCCTCTACAATTCATATTTCCACATACTCCACCCTCTACAATTCCAATTTTGTTACCGTAGTTCAAACTGTTACCTCCAAAATTCGAAGTCAACCTCTACAATTCGAACTGCGTTACCGTAAGCCTCTGTATTTTTAATCCAGGACAAAAAATACACCTGTTGAAACATGAACTGACCCTCTTATTGTTCCCACGATGTGTTCATTAGTCTCCGTTCTCTCAAACTCTCTACACTTAAAACTGGGACCTCCATAGTTCAAATTTTATTTATTCTGACCTCTATAAATCAAACTCTCTAAATTTCAAACTTCCCATAGTTCTAAATATATTTTCTTTCCTCCAAAATTCAAATTAGCGAGATTCTACTGTATTAAAAAAATCAACATTTGTATTCTGATCTTTATCGATATACCGTTAAAAGGCATTTAACTTTAAATTGTCGCTGTGAGCAGCCCTGTAGCGCTAAAAGGCTCGGCTTTGATGCCGAGATCCGACACTAACCTCCTCTTTCCTCATAGCAGCCAATTGACTAGGGGCAAATGCATCTAGAGGTGACGTCTCGCCCTTGAGGAAGCTGCGACCAAGGCTCTCCGGGGACGAGTACACTTCGCCCAATGTTCTAATGAGCAACGCGTAATTGTTTTCTGCCTGACAAGTCTCCAGAACTCGCAACAACTGGGCCTCGTCCAGGGTAGATTTGCCTGCAAAGAAGATTTATGTATCAGACTTATGGAACTGCAGGGTGTCCAACAACACATTTTTAACTAACGACACAAAACAACAGACTCTTCTTGCTCTTCCTCTCGTCCAACGATTTCGAACAAAGTCCTTTCAAGCGCTCTATTTCTCGTCTCCACCCACCCAATCACCGTCAACCAACCAAGACTCAAATCATTCAACTCACTGATCACACTTCAAATTACTGTGTCACCTCTATCAATCCTTTTCGGAGCATTCAATTTCATTTAACACTGTAAGAACAACGACACAAGTAAAACTTATCTTGTGTCTTATGAATAGAAAGTAATAGTGTAAAATGAAAAAAATACAAACACTCTTAACTCGCCTAAGGTCTTGAGCAAACTGTTTTGATTTAAATGAAGGGCAGGGAAGGGGATATATAGATAAGGGTACGGGGTGGAAAAGATGAGTTGTAGGTAGAAAAGTAAGCGGGATCTGTTTACCGACCGGCAGATCCTTCGAGGACTATTATTATTGGTCGCTGTTACAGTCATGTCGTTAGGTACCATGTTCAAACTGTCAAACTATCAAAACTCTACTTTACTATATCCTAACAACATTTTCTTGACCAAAGAATCTCGTTGGTTTAAAAATTACATAGACCACAAATTATTTTATTCATTTTAACAGAATAAAACAAAGAGGAACTTAAGTGTAAAGCTAAGCGATTTTGTGGTACCGTAAGCATGCCATATCTAGAACAGAATAAATGGTTAACAGGTTTTTTCTTTATTACGTATTAAAAAACCTTGAAAAGTTCCAGTAGCATACCTCAATGTTTTTAATTTTTTTTTTTTTTAAATTTATAATCATGGAAAGCTTTTTTTGTTTGTTTAAATTACAATTTATTTAATTTACAAAATGCATGGAAAAAAAAATTATGTTGGCTTTTAGGGATTCTAAATAAAAATAAGTAGCTTAATGTATAAATTATCAATTTTTGAGGCAAAACATTAAATTATGATAAAAAAAACATTATCAGTTTCACAAACAAGGTCCAAAACATACATATACAACATCACTTTTTTACAACAATATTAATTTATTTAGATTGTACTACGGTAGTTATATTTCAGATAAAAAATGCCAAGGAAGCATAATTGGAGACAAAGTGATACAATTTTAGAGAGTTTGTTTACTATTAAGCAGCCTTGGTCACGTTGGGTGGCAACGATCCAAACACAACCAGCCTTGTAAACACTGCCTTGGGACAGAAATAGACTTCCGTCACATCACGCATCCCACGACACAACAACCTGCGTTGTGATAAGCAGCTCTCTGTTTACTGTATTGTTGACAACAGTTTATTTAAATGTATCAATAGAACAATCGTTACTGGGGTAAATAATCAAGAAATATTTAATCTAGGACTCGTGAACTGAAGAACTAATTTTGTAAATAAAATAGAAAATTAATCAAACGTACGTTTTATATTATGCCTAATAATAATAATTGGCAATAATAAAAAACTTTATAAAAATTACCCCTTTTTCAAGAGCCACACTTAAAAATAACTTTTGGATTTAATTGAAGAGCAATTTTACTCCATCCCCCCTAACCTAAATACATAGTGTAAGGAGAAAGTATTGTTTTCATCAAAATTTTGAGTTTGAGTTTTGAGTTCAACTATTTTGGGTTAGGTTTTACGTATTTAGCTTGATTTATCGTGCTCCAAACATATATGTGATACCTAAATTATCAATAATGGTCAAGACATGCGAGTGTGGTTGAACTTAATGAGTCTAAAAGCTAAGAAGGATATTTTGAGAAAACCATAAGCTGTAATCTATCAACTGCATATCGGTCCTTGAATGAAATGTCAGATGTGAAACTTCTCTGAGAATATCAGTTTTTTAAACACTCTACTACGAGTAGGAACCTCAATTAAACGGCTATATTTCATTGCATTTAAAATATTAGAGAAGAGTTAAGCTTTTGCTACTACCTTCGATTTCTACCTATATTTCATCAAGAGAAGTGACAGTTCTTTTAATGTGAGATTAATGATGTGAGATTATAATGTGAGTGTTTAAACCTTTGAATTATGTTTCAGTTTGTTATGCATTAGCTCAGTATTATTTATTTTAAAAACACAACAATTAATGTTGCAGACAAATGTTGTAATTAAAGCTAGGATGTCCAAGATCACGCCAGCGTGATCTGTCTGGCGTGATGTCCGTTGACGCTAATTTTTGTCCGGCGGATGTCCGATCAAGCACGGCATGAGAGTGGTTTGCAAGAAAGCGGACATTCACGGTTATTTGTCTTGGGAAATGAGCTAGTGACAACAATGACAAAAAATTGCATATAAATGAGACATTTACAAACAAACTAAAGGTATACTATATTGTCAAAACTGTTTGAAATAACATCTGAGTTATTAAAACAGCTTTATAGTCCTTAAAATAAGTAAACTAAATACCAAACATAGCTCAACCATCTGGTTCTAGAAACTAAGAGACACATGAAACTAGTTTTGGTTGAAATAAAAAACAAACCATTTGTTCAAAGCAATTGGATTCTATTACAATTCCACCGAAAATAATAAAATCAATAGGATGATAGTTACAGTTTTATTAAATAAATTTTACTTTTATTACAATCACACTGAAATAAACTAAGCCTGATTTTTACATTTTTACAAGAATCCTCACAGAGTCCTACACTTGTCCGCCCGGTGTGCACGCCAGAAATGACTGGGGTAATTTTCAGCGTGCCACGCTCAACTCACGCCAGACAGATGGCGGGAAAACTTATGTCCGGCGTCATTGCTCACACTTGGAAACCGCACCCAAAAAAAACATGGTTTCAATTTAAACTTGATTACGTAATCAAGCTCGTCCACTCACGCTGTCCGCCCGGCGTGATCTTGGGAACAGTAACTTAAGGACGCAAGAATCATAGAGTTCGGATGGAACCTTACGGGTTCAAACTGGGAAAAATGCATCTGTATTTTCCCTGTGACTTTGACATTGATAAAATTAATTTACATCAAGAACAAGCACTTAATCCAGTTTGCATTGGACAAAGTGGTAAAGAATCACCATATATTCTCTGTGTTCTCTTACCGAGGCGAGGCACGCGCAGAACAACTAGTGTATCTAGATCTAGGTATATAACTTAAGGAACAAATAAGTAGGCCTAAGGTAATATTCACTCACCAGGCTGAGGCAGCTTGACGTGCGGTGATGGATGAGGCTTGACACAGTCGTTGCAGTGAGTGCGAGGGAATGGTGCATCATGGGTACGCGGGACCTTGGGTGGTAACGTTTCACAGAGCCGCGCGTCCTCCCGGAACAGCTGGATCGCTTGAGCAGCCGCTTGGTTTGGAGACAATCCCTTTACCTAAAACATTTCAGTTGTTAAGCTTTTGTTTATTGGAACACATGAAAATAAAATTCAAGGAATTCTAGGTTTTTTAAGTTGTAGAACCTTTACTTTGAAATCAAGTCTCGCAATTATTTACTTGTTTCAAATCCATCCTCAAACTTCCCATAATCACAACAACAACCATGACTATCTTCCACAATTGTCTTAGTAGGCCTACTTAGAGGAAGTTAAAAAAAAAAAAAAACTAACGGAGGACCATTGAAAAATGAAAGAGAGCTTGGCCACAGGATAGTTCAAGTAGGTACGACTCTCGGTTAATCAGTCTGACATTAAACGTAACATAACCATGACATCCTAAATATGTCATACTTAACAATATTTCATGTTTATTGTTTACTATTACTAATAAAGTCGAAAAACGGTGAAGTTAGGTTAGTTTATAAACTGACTAAATGTTTATAAATGTTAGGACAGTTAGATTTTAGATTTTTTTTATGTTTTGAAAATAATTTTGGCAAGTTGGTTTGGGTGATGAGTATGAAGCTTTTCTTAAAGATTACCAAACATATTTGAAAGATTATGTTTTTTGTGACGATTTTGTTACAAGATGAACATATCTGTTAACTTAAATATGAATTTTAGCCTATTTTTTTTAAGATGGTAGGCCTATAGGCTACCCAAATGCTTCATATAAAGTTATAGTCCAAGGGAACACTTGGGACCATTAGAATGCCTAATTAAGACTAGTTACAAAATAGCATTTTTAAGATACCTTTCCACTTGAAGCACAGTGTTCGTTGTTGCAAGTGCTGTTCCCACAACCATCCGTCAGCTGGTAGAAGTAGCGTTCGATGAGCTTCTTGGCAGCAGCCCGCTTCATGTTGTCCTTTGGTTCCCAGGCGAGGACGGAACTTGAGCCACCACTGTTGGGCAAACCGTGGTTAGAAACTTTGTAAGCAATAGTTTTCAACCACCTTTTGAAAATAAAATTCCAAACATGAATCTGACCATGAAGTAAACTTAGGCACAGAAAACATACTACTATAACCCAAAATGCCAACCGCATGGTAAAAAGCATTAAGTGTTTTGAGAGAGCTTTGCCTGTCAATTCGTAGGCAGCGCCACCAGCGTTGCTATGCTGAGTGCATGGGTGAGTGAATAACTTTTGAAACAGTTAAACATTACAAAGTAGTATCAGGCTACATTTTTTTAAATTGAAATTAAGTAACTAAAATCTTCTATTCTGTAAGGTGCTAAAAAAGGTCAAGTAAGGATATAAGTTTAGGTTAACCCATAGACAAATATAATAAATATAGACTGTCAAAGGAAGGTTTCGGGACCCACCGCTAGGGTTCGCCGTGTAGTTACGGCGCACACCGCTGCAGGCGGCGAGCGCAGGAGCCATATGCGCAGCGGTGTGCGCCGTAACTACACGGCAAACCTAGCGGTGGACGCCAAAACTTCTGCAAACCACAGCACAGCTGACAGTCTATATTTATTCTATTTGTCTATGGTTAACCTTACCTAACTAACCAAATGATAAAGGCAATCGAATAATCTATATAAGTTATCGATCGATATTTTCATTCGGTTGTTTGTGTCAACAGATACATGGGAAGTCTACCCAAAATCGATACACGAAGATACGATACAATACAAGTAGGCCTATCGATACATCCCGTCCCGATACAAATCGATACGCCGTATCGATAGGCATTGACTTAAGTATCGCACATCACTTGTATCTTAATTTGGTTACATACAACGTTGCCGTGGTCATGTTGCTTTGCATTTTAGGCTTTAATCACAAACGACATGGTGAGGTCTACCTGCCAAAGCAAACTTGCCTACTGCCACACTAAAGATTTGAAATCAACAAGTCAAGGCCTTTGTAAAATATTAATATTCCGGTGACTTGCAAAGGTGCTAGACCTAGAATTGTAAAACAGAAAAATATAATACTACTTATTTAATTTACTGAATGAGAATTAGTTCCTTACCCAGAGCCTTCACCGTTGCCAAATTCAAGATCCTCGTCCTTTGAGGTCATTAAATTTTTACTCAGTTGTTGTTACAAAAGTATAACGTAAATAATAAAAAGGTGATATAAATATGATACTACTTCCTACTAACAGTGGTTCGCACAAACCGATTTACTAACTATTTATAAAAATATAACTTGGCAACAAATATGAAGATCGTCACTACACCTCTACCAAAAGCAGCAGTAGTCAGTCAGTAACAACAGAACAGCGAAACAGCAAGCGACAGGGACTCAGATCGATGTTTTCATGGTTTTCATTTGCACCTGAGTGTGGACTGGAGCAAACTGGAGGTAAATCATAATATGTTGCATAATGTATAATCATTGACTATTGCAAAATCTAATGATTATTATTATTACGTCCAAACAATTTAATCATGTTTAATGTGGCAGAGTATTACTTTACTATAGATAAAAACAAAGATACATCGATTAGTCTATGGTATTGTATTAAATGCACACGACACAAAAGAACTAAAAAAAAACACGGATTACGAAATTTCTGTATAAATTAAATATTCCCCCAAGTATTATTAATTAGGTTTAGTTTAGGACTCCTCGTCAGATTTTCTACTATGATTGTCTGGAAAAAGGATCTTTAGAATGGGGAAGACTAATAAATGGAATGACCCTACTCCAGGGTCAGCTACTATATAATTACTATTATAGATTTAACGGACAATAGGTATACTATCAAGGCCCCACTAGAAAAACTTTTTTCTAGTGGGGCCTTGATACTATCCCCAGATGTAATCAATGTATGATGTAATCAAAATATGGTCTTCAAATTTTCTTAAATAGTTAATTTAAACTAACTTATTAAAACTGGAAACTCTTGAAACAAGAAAGAAACTCAATACGTTCCCCTTTACAAGCAGTGCGTTGATTATAATACAATTAATTATTTTATTGACAACACATTTAGCTGTTAATTTTTGCATTTCTTCGCGTTTTACAATGGCAGAGTAAATCGCATTTAAAAAAATCCACCTTATAACAAACAACATTTTGTCGTCATATCTGCGCACTCAAACGTGCCAATTCATCTTATGGGAGTATGTTTTATCATAGATAAAACATACTCCCTTAGGTTTTATCTATGATCTTATTTAAAAACAGATTTTAAGAAAAAGGTAAATTAGTCTTCTTTTGATATTCCAATTGAGTTGGGTTGACCTTCGTTGCTAATGTAATAAATATTTATTATAATACAGTATTAAGAATACATTTTTATAAAATTAAAAAGTGAATTCCAACTTTGGAGATTAAAAAGCTGCATGTATGGGTAATTGCTTGGCGCAAATGAAATTAGAAGAACGCTTTTATCAAGTGTCGTCTGCAAATACTGAATTCAGAATGTTTGCTCGCTGTGCCATAAAGTGAAAAAAGTGTCAACATAAACTAAACAATAATATTTGTTTACCAGTTTAGGCTACTCTTTTAATTTAAATCTGTGCTAGGACTAGCATTAACAGTGAATATTAATGCACATTAACTTATAGATTTAAGATTAATTTTATTTAATAAATTGATGGTTTATTAATAAGGAGGTAGTAAATTAATTGTATTTCATAGTAGGTATCCTATTTGGTTAGTTTTTTTCAATTTTATTGGAGGTCTAGGGCTGCTAATTACCAACTAGGCTAACTCAGATATGATTAGTTTAGGTAGAAATATGTTAAATAAAAACAATCTGTGCAGTGTATTGGTTCTTACTTGGAAATGTTCGGTTGGACTTTCTACGTCAAAGGATTTTAATACTAGTAACAAGACGAGTTTAAAAGATGACATACCAGATGACCACCGAGAGAAACCCTCACACGGAACCAATAATATTACAGGAAAAACTGTGTTTGACCATCAACAGCGTTGGTCAAAATGTTTTAATGATAGCGGTGTACCAGAACCTGACTTATCATCTAAGTACATTATCGAGCATGTCCTCAATTTTAAAAAGGTAATGTTGTGTAATCACATGGTTTAATTTATTAGTTTACACTTTGGTTCAGTTTATAGGCTACTTGGAGCAGGTAGCTCAGCCAAAAGTTAAGCAATAAGTTAGTCTTCACATTTTTAGGAGTTTGCAACATTATCCCAGAACCATAGATGGCTTAAGATAATTCTGGAAACTAGCATTGACGCCATAAGCCCACACTACTCTTGATGTTAGATATGGTAGGTTCTTGCGAACCACAGAGTTAGAGTCGTCTTAGATCTCCAGCAGTCCAGAACAACGGAGGACATGGCTCTCCCGGTATTGGTGCTAGCAGGTATGTGGTGGTAGACTTTTGAGAGACTTACATTGCCAGACCCTTGGACTATTTATTAGTCCTCTAAATTAATTTCGTCCAGTCAATGGGGAATTTGTCTGTGATATTAGAATGTTAATAACATGTTACAATTAAGATATTAACTTGTATTAATGAGTGTGCTTATATCCGCTGAATAAACGAACCATTAGTTGCACACCCGAGTATTTATTTATTTATTACATACACGGCAAACGCCATTTTACAGGAGAGTTCAGTTGAGATTGATAGTTATAGTGCGATCAATAATTAAATATTTTAACAAATATGAAATACTAATAAATAATTACTAATTTTGGACACCCCGCCTCCTTGCGGATACAACAGTGATTTAAGCTATTTTTGGATGACTTTCACTTTATAAAATTTTGAGCAATAACAATATTTAGCTGAATAGTGAAGGTAGGCCTATCTCTTTTTAAAAACATTTTATTTAGCTTAACTATGTAGGACTATGGTGTGGACTGTTTCTGGCTAATAAGTCCATACAGTCAAACAACCAAGTCATTTTTAATTTGGTTACCAGCTTATATCCTTTTTTTAACAACCGACCAATGATTTCAGATCTCAAGAAGATCACGGTTTGGATTATTTCTTTACTTAAACGGTCCAAAACGCCAAAGGTGTAACTTATAGCACTTATTAAATAAGAAAATGATATAGGCATAGGTTAAATAACTTAATAGTACAATAGTTAGGGGGGAGCATAGAGCACAAGGGCCTAGAAATTTTAGGATTTTTTGAGAGGATAGCAGGCTTACCTGAATGGGAAAGAGTCCAAACTGGCACAGGAAACACAAAACAAAACTTTACACTATATACACAAAACATTAGTATATTCCTGTCAAAGTATTGCACACTGGTAAATAAGCTGGACCCCGGAGGTTGCATCGCAATGGGATTGAAGGCTGGCTGAGGCAAGTAGTTGGGCATTGATGGGGGTGGGTAAGGTGGGGTAGCAGGTATGGCGGGGGGAGGTCCAGGGGGGAAAACTTGCCATTGTATACTGGAGTCGGCACGTACCCTGAGGTTGCATCAAAATGTGATTGAAGGCTGGCTGAGGCAAGTAGTTGAGCATTGACGGGGGTGGGTTAGGTGGGGTAGCAGGTATGGCGGGGGGAGGTCCCAGGGGGGAAAACGTGCCATTGTATACTGGAGTGGGCACGTACCCTGAGGTTGCATCGAGGACCTCCCCCTACCACTCCTGCTGCTACGCCTTATTCCCAATATGCCAATGCACTAGACGTACATGCCTCAACAGTATACAATGGCACGTTTTCCCCCCCGGGACCTCCCCCTACCACTCCTGCTGCTATGCCTTATTCACAATATGCCAATGCACTGGACCTACATGCCTCAGCCAGCCTTCCCTCCCATTTTGATGCAACCTCAGGTTACTTGCCCACTCCAGTATACAATGGCACGTTTTCCCCCCCGGGACCTCCCCCTACCACTCCTGCTGCTATGCCTTATTCACAATATGCCAATGCACTGGACCTACATGCCTCAGCCAGCCTTCCCTCCCATTTTGATGCAACCTCAGGGTACGTGCCGACTCCAGTATACAATGGCACGTTTTCCCCCCTGGGACCTCCCCCCGCCATACCTGCTACCCCACCTTACCCACCCCCGTCAATGCTCAACTACTTGCCTCAGCCAGCCTTCAATCCCATTTCGATGCAACCTCAGGGTACGTGCCGACTCCAGTATACAATGGCACGTTTTCCCCCCTAGGACCTCCCCCCGCCATACCTGCTACCCCACCTTACCCACCCCCGTCAATGCTCAACTACTTGCCTCAGCCAGCCTTCAATCACATTTTGATGCAACCTCAGGGTACGTGCCGACTCCAGTATACAATGGCACGTTTTCCCCCCTGGACCTCCCCCGCCATACCTGCTACCCCACCTTACCCACCCCCGTCAATGCTCAACTACTTGCCTCAGCCAGCCTTCAATCCCATTGCGATGCAACCTCAGGGTACGTGCCGACTCCAGTATACAATGGCACGTTTTCCCCCCTGGGACCTCCCCCCGCCATACCTACTACCCCACCTTACCCACCCCCGTCAATGCTCAACTACTTGCCTCAGCCAGCCTTCAATCCCATTTTGATGCAACCTCCGGGGTCCAGCTTTTTTACCAGTGTGCAATACTTTGACAGGAATATACTAATGTTTTGTGTATATAGTGTAAAGTTTTGTTTTGTGTTTCCTGTGCCAGTATGGACTCTTTCCCATTCAGGTAAGCCTGCTATCCTCTCAAAAAATCATAAAAATTAATAGTACAATGAATAGATTTCTGTGTGGAAGTACATAAATAATTAATTGATTTGTAGTTTTTTTCAGGCTCATGAATATGACTTAAACTTTAAAAGAGAGGTTACTGAAGAAGAAGAATGCAAAATAAAGCAGCTTTGCGAGTGTCGTTTGGCAAGGTAGGTACACTACTTTATTTTATGTATTTTCCTACTTAATTTAACAATGTGCATTTTAAATTTAAAAGATATAGGCCTAGTTTAACATTTACAATACCGGTACTGATATATAAAATGTAAACTATCCTTAGCTGAAAATTCCAAGGAACAGACAGGGTAATTCCCAAAGTCACGAAACATAAAAATATTAAATTTTTTTATAACATTGGGTTAAAATGGTAAGATACTTTTATGGTAATGATTTCCCATTGGTTTGTAGGATGCCTGTTCAATATATCATCAAAGAGTGGGATTTCCGAGACCTCAGATTGACGATGACTCCTCCAGTCTTCATCCCTCGACCAGAGACTGAACAGTTGGTAACTGAACAAAAATACATAAAAAAATATAAAGATGGGGGAACTGTAAACTTTATATTTTCATGTTTTGGTTAAACGTTGTTCTGTGAGGAACCACCCATAATTTCTTTTTACTATTTATATGGAAATTACTCAAAACAATAGTAATTGTAAAATTAAACTATGAAAAAAAAAACTAAGGTGACAAAAATAAGAAAAAAACACAGGAATAAAAGTGCTACTATCTGAAGATTGTTTTGTAGAATAAGCCTTATTTACATAGCTTTAAACCATGCGAGATGTCTGCAGATTAAGGTCTCTATTGCGGTCAAGCCTGACCATGTCTGACATCAGTTATGTTCTTAACTTCATCCACTACTATTCTAGTTGGTTTCCACCACTATGAGATGGTCAGTAGCTAAAATTGATGAGAAAGAAATTTGACACAAGTAAAAATTGTGTTTTGTGATTAGACTTCTCTGGTCTAAGGCGTCAGCTGCTATTGACATCTGTCGCCAATCGACAAATGTTTATGCAGAAACGTTATGCATAGCGAGCTCAAATGAGTTTTCATGAAACAATATAAATTTACAAATTGGTCCGTCAGTGGGTGTTCATCCGTTTCTACCGAGGCTATACAGTCATTTAAGTTAAGGAAACCATGCTCGCTGATTATCATGTTCACGACGATTAGGGGCTTATCTATGTCCTTAATTTTCGTCCGTTCCCTGTCACTTTAACAATTCCTTGTACAGTCATACTGAAATCTGAGGGCACAATTTCTTTAACCTTTTACACTTCTTGGATTTTTAGAGAGGATAGCAGGCGTACCTGAATGGGAAAGAGTCCAAACTGGCACAGGAAACACAAAACTTTACAACCTTCCTTAGATGAAAATGCTGTCAGTGACAGTGAAATATTCTAATGTTTTGTGTACATAGTTGTTAAGTTTTGTCTTTCCTGTGACAGTTTGTACTCTTTCCCATTCAGATAAGCCTGCTATCCTCTATAAAAATCCAAAAACCTAGGCCCCTCTGCTCTATGCTACACCTTTTTACATTTTTTGTTATGTACCACCTTAACATCCTAGGATGCAAGGTTCTAGCCCGGAACTGCTTTACACATTACTTCAGGCTAGTCCTAGAGGGTCGAGACAAAATCACATAGATAAAATCCATTGGTGATTGGCGGCGTTTGAATATGGGACCTCGGGCTCCGAAGCTCTGAGCTCCTCACTTTGCTGCCTCAAATGAAACTGAATATTAAATGCAACTGGACCACACTGCGTTAAACTTTTTGGAAATGTTTACCACTTCCTCCACCCTTTACCCACTTCACGTCAAGCCCATCCCTAGTGATAAACTTCAATAGCGGTTTAGTACCTAGACCACATAAATATAATTACGGATCGCTGTTCTAACTTGGCGGTACCTGATTTTCCTTAATGTCGTTTTCGGCTACTTTGATGAGAATAATCATTGCACAGTGGAAATTGGCTAGAATTTTAGTAGATTAAGTTTTAAACACAACGCTCGTTTGAGATTTGAGCTAGCTCGTTTGGGACAGTAGCTCGGTGGAGACCTCGAGATACACATATGTACAACCCTCGTATCAATGTAAACAAATGACTGTACTATATAGTTTTTTATTAGTAAGATGCCTCAATTAGAGTTAGTTATATTAGCACAATTTTGATCATGTTATCTTTCTCCCAGGTCGAACTAGTTCTGGAGAAGGCGACGCCAGACTCCACCATATTAGAGATTGGCTGTGGTTCTGGCGCGATATGTCTGTCCTTGCTGAAAGCTCTTCCTCAGGTACCTATTTGTTAATTATAATAGACACATTTAGCAAAGTCCGGTTGAACAGATGAGGCTACTACCATTAGTTAGACATTTAACTCCAAATTTGCTTAAAGTGTCAATGTACTTAAAAACTGTTCTTTTAGTGTCATCGTCATGCATGAAATTGACACAGTCAGTTTTTACCATGTAGCAGCAAATCTAAATACTCATTTATCTTAATGTTATTGTAAAAGGGACTAAATCTGACAATTTTAATGAAATATTTGAGTGAACATCCAACGAGGTGAATGGAAATTCACCTAGTCTGCAGGTTTGGTGCGACATCGGTAGTTATTTGATACATTATTTCAGTATAAATTAAAGTTAGTTTTCTTTCGATTTGATCATTGTTTCCTGCAAAATATTCTACAATTTATCTTTTGCGGCTTCAAAGAAATAAAAAAATTATTTAAGTCATATTAGGTATTTTATTTTAATATAATTAATTTCTAGTTTTTACAGACTCGTGTAACAGCAGTAGACCAGAGCAAGTTGGCTTGTGAGTTAACAAAGAAAAATGCAGAACAAAACAATTTGGCAGATAATTTAAAGGTAAGGAATAGTTTGTACACATTCCTGATTAGAGTGATTTTTTACACAGACGATTCACACAAACATTCAATTCAGTAATAGAAATATTGTTTCAAACTGTAGGTTTTGATTGAATTATCAGAATCAGTAGTAGGGTTTTTTTTTTAAAAGGAATAGATTTCACCTAGCACCTAGTTTCCCTGTGGAAATTAGAGTCAGGGGCTTAATTCTGTAGATAGATGGTAAAAGAACACAAAGTATGACATGGATATAGTGTCCTTGTAGGACTTCTTCAGAGAGAAATGTCAGTTAAAGCTTCCTTGGTCACTCCAGTCAGCGAATTTCCCTATAGGGAATAAGGTATTACCGTAGGTCTCATGGTAAGACTTAGACCCGGGACCAATTTACTTTTTCATTTTGAGGTCCCCATAGGTCACAAACACCCTCCGTTCAAATTCATATATATATTTTATATGTGTGTCTTTAGCGCGATAACTCGAGCAAAACTGATCCAATTTTGATGAAATTTGGTACAAACGTGTAAACCTACGTTTATTCAAAGGATTTTGCGAACCTGCATGATTGGACAATGGAAACGGGGTTTTATGGGGTAAAAATTGGTTTCCCCTATTTTTTACCTTAAAAACACAACATTTCACAATTTCTTTCTGAACCATTTTGTAGAGCTCAAAAAAGAAATAATTTTGTATATGGAAGCGTTGTTGTATGCCAAACGGTTACGGAGATAAATAAAAAATTTATAAAATTTAAAATTCCCATGTTATTCTTATTGAAATTATGGAGAATAAATCAACTGTTGTAGCTTGCTTGTTTATGGAAAGAAGTTATTCTGGCAGTTTTAAAGGAATGTTTTAATAGAAATCCAGCGAAGAAAATTGAAATTTGCTTAGTACGCAGGGTTGCTGCGGCGGGGGTATTTTGAACTTAAATTAACATATTATCTTACTCTCTGAAGAAGTCGTACATCAAGACAAAATATTAGTTTTATTTAAAAATACAAAATTACTTAGTTCCACTCATAGTGACAGTCTATAAATATTCTTCTTTCACGCTTCTTATATCAAAAAGGTGGAGAGGCTGGCGGCCCAACCAGGGAATCACCTGAACAAGAGACGATATTTATGTATTGTAGAACCCCATTAATCCAACCTTGACTAGTCCGACTCCTTTATGCTTAATCCAAACGTGTCTTGCCTATCAGTGACAGTGTTATTGTGCTAAATTCTCCATGCTATTTGCCATGGTCGTGTGGAGATCATCACCATCTCCCTTAATCTCGGCAAATCTTGTTTATCCCCTGGAATCACAAAAACATTTATCGTCATCCACGGCAATCGTGTCAAAATATTGAACGGTCCCACGGTCACGGAAACATCATCATCGTCTCTCGCGATCGGGGTAAAATATTAAACGTTGCCCACAGAAAAATTATTATTTTTTGATAGTGCGCGGTTCATACATGTCAGTTAAACAATTATTTTTTTCTTTTAATATGCTCCTCTGACGATACAATCTTTTCACTGTTCCGACCATGGTCCTGGTCCCAAAAGGATTAGCTGGATTCTTTAATGATTGATAATTGATAATTGAATAATTTATTGTAAAAAGTATTGTTGTTGAAGATGAGTTTTCCTCAGGTGGTCCAGAGCAAATTGCAAGATGATGGAACTCTGTCCCAACCTGTAGACTTGGATGACCCGGTGGACATCATCGTAAGCAACCCTCCGTATGTACCTTATGCTCAGTTGATGGATCTTGAGCCAGAGATCAAGCTGTAAGTTGTCTGCCATTTTTACTTGTAACTAAGGGAAAACAAAGACTGAAGAAAAACAAGTTAGCGCTCTGGACAAGAATGTTTCTGTCTGTCCTCTGTTTGGGCGAAGAAACTCAGTAGTTCTTTTAGTAGTTCTCAGTAGCTCAGAAGGTGATTTTTAAAAGAAAGGTACAAACGCAAAGGTCAAATGAATTTACAGAATGAACAGGTCGGGATGGAATTATAATCTTCTTCTTAAGATTTATTTATGAGGAATAATTGCAAATCATCAATTTTGTTGGGCCTATGGTTTGGCTTACGTTTGTATCAACATTTGAAAAAATTGCCATTTTCAAGCTCTGTAAGTCTGGGTCAAAATAGTAGTCATAGTCCTCGCCACCCTAACTTGAGGCAGCCCAAGGCCGCACTAGACATGTGGCTTGCGGCCTTGGGCTGCCTCAAGTTAGGGTGGCGAGGACTATAGGACATAATCCATTAAAAATAAAATTTTAGAAATTGATTTATTGTATAACTTAATACCCTTAAAAATGCAAAGTGGATTTTGATAATGCTTGCTGTTTTTGCAATACAGTTATAGGCAAGTAGTTCTCATCATGTCAACAACATGTATTTTCAGTTTCTCTCAACTTTGAAGCAGTCTATTGTAAAAATATGAAATGTTGAAAAGGACTCAAACATTTTTTTCTGTTAAATACATACACCCCCTTACAAATACAAAACCCCCCCTTAAATACAAATGGGAATGCCCTTATACATCAAACCTGTAAAGTTTAAGTTAATGAACAAAATTTGTTATTTTATTTTTTTTATGAATTAATCGTTGTTTTGTTTCATAAGTCCTATTCTATTATCTATTTAGCTGATACTGCCAAAACAACAATTTACAGCCTACAAACAAGGTATTTACTCAGGGGAGGTATAGAAGAGGCTACGATGGCAGCTGTGGGCTTCTTATTAGCTGAGTTAACGCCATTAGCGTAACAATACGACCTGAAGCCATCGGCCTCAGTGGTCTAGTGGCTAGCGTGCCGGACTGATATGTTGAAGGTCCCGGGTTCGAATCCCGCCGGTAGCAGTAACTTTTTGTCCAAGATTTTTTCATTATCAGCAAGTTTGGTTTGTTTGGTTCGGTTATGACAGTTTAATTTTATTATTAAGTCATTATAAAATTTTAATTGAGCAATTTCTAGTTTTTTTTTAACAGAATTATTTTTTCTATTACTTAACTTTTGTTATATTATTTCATTATCAGCAAGTTTGGTTAGTTCAGTTAGGTTATGATAGTTTAATTTTATAATTAAAAAATAATAAAATTGAATTTGATGCATTTATAATTTTATTTTATGAACAGAACTATTTAGCGATTAGTGCTTCATTGTCAAAGTGCTCTCTGCTACAGCGCTGTTCACGGAGGAATTTTGAACTAATGCCTCAATCGTACCTCCCCTAAGTCAGACCCCTACAAACAAGGACAGAATATAAAGTAAAACCACTGTCACCAGCAACCCTAAATTAACAATTTGTTTATATTCAAGGCAAATGCATCATATTAATAATTCGTCAGTCTTGTAGACAACATACTTTAGGTAAGTGCCTACCTTAAACCGCCTTAGGATTACTTGTAAAGCAAAATGAACAAATATTTATAATTTGTCGAGCACAAATTAGACCTCTTCGAATAGTTTTGTAGACTTGATGAGTCCAAGCTGCTGTAATGCCACAAATAAATATATATAAGTAAATCCGTCTAAATTTGTTTAGGTATGAGGACCTTCGAGCTCTAGAAGCTGGGAAAGACGGTCTGCGGGTCGTCAAATCTCTGCTGACCCTCGCCTCCACCACGCTTCGCCCTGGCGGACTTTTATTCCTGGAAGTTGACGCATCACACCCAACGCTGATAGAGCAATGGATAACTAAGCATCCACAACTGAACATGCAGTTTGTTAAGTCATACAAGGACTTTTGCGAAAAAGATAGGTTTGTGGAGCTGAAAAAAGTATAATCATAGACACAGTGTAATTTGGACTTTTTAGATACAGATTTTAAAAAAGGTTTCTCTTACAGCTGGACCATTTGGAGATGTACTTAAAAAGACGTACCTGTCCAAAGTCTTCCGATGTAAAGGTGGAATACTCAAAAATTATGTATATACAAGTTATCTGTAAATAAATCTGTTGAAATTGAATTTTGATTGTTCTCCTTACTCGTACTATTATTTAGTTTATTTAGTACCATGCTATGCTGACGCTGACAGGGCCACTTTTATAAAGGGAGCAACAGGTTTTAGGTTTTAGGGGGCACAAGGAAGGGGAAAATTCGTCTACAAGGTAGGTGGAGAGGGGCCCTAATATCTCTTGGGCCCATAGCTCATCACATGCAAACCACGGGGGACTACGATCAAATAAAGCACTTTTCAAAGTAATCTATAACATTGAAACTTGGCACTGCTAGAAAACAACAATAAACATGCAACACCACAAGATTAAAGCATCTGTTCCACCCGTAAGCCTAGAAAACCCCAACCATGGTTAAAAGATACTCCCCTGTGTTGGTTAGTCTATGTCCCTACCCTGAGTACCCTCATCCATCAAACGCCCTAAATTCTAACACCCCTAGGTTGAGAGAGCAGGAAGAAAGGAACTCCTGCAAACTTCGCCAACAGCCACCTTTAACACCAGGACGTGGCCCTTGCTTGAAGCACACTGTCACTGTCAGTACTATCCTGATAATTAGACCAATTCGTATATACCAAGGAAAAATGTGGTTCGGATTCCACTATAAACTGTAGGTCCCTTAGTTGCCATTAGCTGTTTGGGCTATTAATTAACAGCTGTGTCTAAGGAATGTCGGCCTTAGTCACTAACAAGACTACAAGATCGCGCCACTCATTCTACACTCATCTCCATTCATACTTGGCTTAAAATACCTACTATGTATGGTCGCCATTTCAATGAAAAGTATTAAGTATTAAAAGTGCTGTTACAGCTGTTTTTTTGTGGTAGCTAATGCGTATTTGTGCGTGTTTTTTTTTAATGCAAAAGCTTGGGTATGAAAATATTTACTCCATTTTTAATTTACAGAAATAAATTTTCAATTAATATTGTTTTTTAAGAACCCTAGCCTATATGTTTTATTTTTAATCTTTTAATAATAAACGATTAAATGAGGTGATGTCACTTGTCTGCCATGTTAGCTTATGGGACGTCTTGCTCTAAACAGTACTACTTGTGACATTGCCAAACAGGCCGTGCTCCGCCGCGGCAGTGCATCTAGTTATAATTATAACTCAAGTATATTGCCATGCTAGAATAACGCAATCTATCCATATTTTGTTGGTCAAGAATGAAGAAATCAATTATTTCAAGTTAGTAAGCACACGGCTGCCTTAACTCCAGGCCGCGGCCTTCGAAGTGGCAACGTCGCAAGTAGGGTTGTAACAGCAGTTTTGTTTGGAAGCAGCTAATGATATTTGCGTACGGTATCTGTGAAAGCTTGGTTACTGGACTATGAAAATATTGACTCCGCTTTAAGTGTACAGATATAGATTCAATTCATATTGTTTTGGCTTTTAATTCTGTATGTTTTATTTTTAATATTTTGATAAATTTATGTTCAGAAATTTAAATTCAAATCGATAAAGTTCGATTAAATCAGCTGATGTCACCTGTTTGCCATGTCATCCCATGAGATTGACACTTCTAACAGGTCGTGGCCTTGAGTTTAAGTTGGCCGTGTTAAGAATCATTAAATGATTTTTGAATAGAATGAATACATTTTTAAATCATAATAATATATAACTTACGCAAAGTGAACAGATATAAGGAGTTTAGGCATTGATTATAAGACTTTCATCAATAATCAATGACTGAGGTCATCTCATGTAAACTGTTGCCACTTTCCTGTCTCGAGATGAGTCAGTGTTCCTGTTTCTGGATCTAGTCAGCTTGTCAGGAATTAGAATCACTTCGTCTTGACTTTGACTGAGTGAGAGTGAGTGAGAGCAAGCAAATGCTATGGCTTGAAGTGTTTCAGTTTAGGTCTCAGCTGAAGTTGTATTTATATTTACAAGTTTAGTTTTTGTTTTTATTTTAGGACCATCAATATCAATCGTTTATCAGACATTATGTTGTTCTATTATAAATTTTCTTGTTGATATTTAATTTATCATGCTTATTATTTATAACTTTTATGAATGGTTTTTGTGACGGAACGCACTTTCAGTGAATCAAAGAAAATGTCAGCCCAGTCTGATAGCTTAGAAATTGTTCATGAAGGTTGGTTGACAAAATCGCCTCCTACGAAGAGCATCTGGAGAGCAGTAAGTGTTCAATATTTTTACTTATTGAAGTTGGAGCTTTGTTCGTACCTATTTAAAAAAAAAACCCTGAAGGCCTATAAGTTATGTATAAGTATGCAAGGTTAGCCTAGACCTAGGCCTTGTCTGACTTATGATTTACAAGGTTATGTCATTTATAAGCAAATTGGTTAAGACTTACAAATTTTCAATAGCCTCCAGGAAAAATGTAGGCGAGGTCTAAGTTACTGTGTTTAGTCTGTTATAAAAAAGAGGGCTTTAATACGTTCGCTGCGGCCCATCAAATGGCAGGCGTAGCCCCATGTCGGCACAGCCCGGAGCTTCGAACAAGCCCGATGTCGGATGATTGGCTTTATTATTTCGGTATGGTGAATAGCAAATAACGTTCGGTGATATCCTGCTTTACGACAAGAGTCGACTTAGTTCGCTAAACACCCACAGATAGCAGCACTGCTTGGAACGTAGCCGGTCCCATTGTATTGCCAATTGGAGGGAGAAAGATAGGACAATAAGTTGAATTTTAAGTTTGCCAGACGGAGATTTTATGGGGAAATTTTACTAACCATCCTACACCACAACCAAAAGCAAGTTACCCACTACACACTAACATGTTACCGTATACGTCCTCCTTCGACTGACGCTATAGCAAAAACGAAGATATACAAAAGGCATTGCCGAGCATATCTGATCGGTTACGGCAGCATCTGAACACCTCTCGGCCCGTAGTGAACGTGTTAAGGAATGAGGCCATGTAAAATCCCAGTGAAATTTAGAATGCCTAACCGACCCCATCATAATATAGAATCAAAAATATCGCTAGCCTATTTATTAGTTAGGCTACATAGAAATCAAAAATCAGAAACTTTTTATTGCCGTAATTTGCAAGGTACATCCATTGTAGAGGATACACGTCCGGTAACCGAACATGGATAAGGCGTCCGGCAATGCCGTCACCGGTTTTTGAGAGCCTGGAATGCCATTACTACACGATGAATAGCCATCGGTGTTCGTGGTGTAGTGGATTTAAGGTGCTCGGCTGATATATGCAAGAGCTCCAGGGTTCGAATCCCATTGGTGACTTTAACTTTTTGTTGAAGATTTTGCTTTGAATACTTTTTGTTTTATAATTTTTTTTATATCCCTGTTAATAATTTAACCTTCATTCGATTTTTTCATTGTCAGCAAGTTTGGTTGGTTAGGTTAGGTTATGACAGTAATTCCCGGACGCCTAATCCAAGTCTGGTTACCGGGCGCCTTTAAGTTAAATTGTAAAAGAAACTAGGCTAGTCTAACCCGGACTAAGTTAACTGACATGATTTAATTAGGAATATGCCTAACTTAGGCTAGGCCTGATAAGTTAATTTGCTTGTGTAGGCCTAACTTATTATCATTTTGTGTTAGAGAATCCAGTCCAGTCAATAACTTGGTTATTGCAAAATGTTGATTAACTTAAGTCATTCTGCTTCATCGTAAGTTATTGATCGCCTGTCGGGGTACTATTGATATAAAAAGTTAAGGTTTTTGGTTAGGCTAAGTTTTGTTATTGATTGAATCTATAGGCCTACCGGTACTTTTATGTTTGATAAACACAATGGAATTGGATATACCTATCAACGTTTTTCCATGATAAACGTTGTTAAGGTCGTGAATAGCTCTGCCAAAAAATTTTGCAAGTGACCAGAGTAACTTAAATATTTTTAGTTAGGCACAAAATTGTTCTGGCTGTGCCAATGCCATATTGCCAACACAGCCAGATTCCCACATATTAAATTACTTGTAACTGCTGCTAACCTATGTATTTTTAAAAACAAAATAACTTAGGGTACCGGTATCCTACACATTTGCATCGTTGTTCCTTAAGAATCTCAAATTTCACTAAATACTTTAGCTTATGTTGTTTGGCAGACTAATCAATTGATAAGATAAGGAAAATCAATTATTAGCCCAGACAAAAGGTATGTAAGTAACCAATATGGTCCTAAGTTTACCTATATCAAAGTTCTGCCAATTCAAACATGCAACTTTTTATCGGTATTAATCACCATGCTATTTTATTTAGCCTTTCACATCTATACTTAAATGTCGAAAAGATAGGACTAAAAAGCTCACTGGTAGATATTAAATATTTAATTGTTCCTTGCTTTAAGAATTACCTACCGGTACTTCAACTTTTGGGACAAAGTAGTTGCCTTACTAGTGGCCTACCTAGAAAACAATGCTGTCCCCAATTGCCATGTAGGCCTACCTTAAAGTTATTTCTAGTTTTGTTGAGCATGAAATTGCTTCGCTCCTAAATGTATTTTGGTCTCGGTTAACCTCATTATGTTAAAACATGATTAGGGGTCTTCATTTCCTAATTCTTTCATTGGTTTAGAAGAAGCACCCAGTTTGTCTCGTCTCCCCAACCACTCCCAAACTCACTTGCGTGTCTTCTTTTTCTTGATTTTTAACAATAATTCATCGCACAGATCTCTAGTTATACAACGCAAATCTGCAACGGACGCCTTAAAGCTTCCATTATTAATCCCACAAATAAAATGTTCCTCAGAACTGTAATTAATACTGTTAATACTGTTTAATGAAATGGCGACCATACATAGTTGGTATTTTGCCAAGTATGAATGGAGATGAGTGTAGGATAAGTAGCGCGATCTTGTAGTCTTGTTAGTGACTAAGGCCGACATTCCTTAGACACAGAGCTGTTAATTAATAGCCCATACAGCTAATGGCAGCTAAGGGACCTACAGTTTATAGTGTAATCCGAACCACATTTTTCCTTGGTATATACAAATTGGTCTTATCATCGGGTAAGTACTGCGGATAGTCGTAGTACTCACTCGTGCGGACGTTAATCCACACCAGGGAGTATCGCATCCACAGTGCATGCCTATAAATATCCACAATTCGTGACCTCCCAGTAGCTGGATTACAGGACGACGCCACACGTCCCAATCGAACTAATGTAGCCGCTACAACTCGTCGTTTGTGTCTGGAAAGTGTTTTTGAAGCTTACAAGTACTAGTGGCGACTAAAGTAGCAGTCAGCGAGTAAACTCGCCGTGTGTGACAGGGCCTTTACTTATGAGTCATTATTATTGCTTTCTATTGTTGAACTGTTCACAACAAAGACACATGTTTGACCCCTTCTTATCTCTTATCATTTGACTGTTATCTTTCAAGGTTCTTTTTATCTTTGCTTATCTTATAACTGTGGAACTGGGATGTGTTTATCTCCATTTTAAAGTAATATCACATTGTTTTACTTAAGATGATACATATTATGTCAATGTCATTGTGTTAGTTTGTGACTAAGAAAAATGTCCATTCAATTTTAAGGTCTGCAAGAAATAGTATTTCACTACTAGTTAGGAAAGTGACATGTTTTAGGGGAAGATGGTGGTTCACGAGTAGTCGAGTCCAAAAATGGAACTTTTGTGATGAGTAGTGAAAAATGCTTTTCATCACAATCATACAATAATCACACAAAAGCTCTTGGTTTGGATTAAAAAATAACTAAAAACTATTCCATTTTCTACTAACTTTCCAGTAAGCTGTTAGATATTTTCTGTAGGGTGACCCGGGGCAATTCTGGCACGGGGCAATTATAGCAATGGCCTATATTTTTTTTAAATTTCAGCTTTACAGATCAGTGAAGCAATATTTGTTATTTCAGCATATACCTCCTATATATAGGAAAGCATTTTTTGTAAAAATAAAATGTTTGCAGTAATTTTTATTAGCGATTAAAAAAGTACTTTCTTCCACAGCCCGAGGATATCGAAACATCGCACACGGCTAATTTTTTTTCCCCTATGAATTTTATATTTTATTTTTTTTTATACTCAAAGATAATTGTTCAGACTTAAAACTTCATGAACAAAAATAGTAATAGCAGTTATCCCTTTAAGATATTTAAATTTAAATGGGTGCTATAATTGTCCCATTTTCATATGCTATGGGGCAATTGTGGCAAAGAACCCGGGGCAATTATGGCAGCTATATATCTTTATACAAATAATGTATAAATTAAAGAATAAATTGTATAACAACGTGTGTTATGTGTAATATGTTTCATTTAAGTTCATTTGGATGGCTTTGTAAACACCTTTTGCTTAGATTACTCTATGGCAGCCTGATTATTTTTATTGTTTATTGTTGCTAGAAGTTTTGAGGTTAAGGCCCTTGTACGCTTGTACTGTCTTACCGGTTTATTCACAACTTCCTTATAAATAGAGATAGAACAAAAATTAAAACACCATCTTAAACAGCTAAATTAGGCCTATGCCATGATTGCCCCAATGTCAGAGCAATTTAAACAATAAGGAAAATATAAGGTATTGCTATAATTGCCCCAAGGTTGGGGCAATTCTGGCATCTGACACTCCAAAAAAAAAAACCTTAAACCCCCTTAAGGGGAGTTTGAGATTGTTGTCTAAATATATGAAAACACTAGAGGAATAACATAGAATTACTATGGTAATTGTCAAAATAAAATGAAAAATATGTTCACCGCGGTACAAGCAGTTAAAGTTAAGGTTCACGTCTGGCTGCCAGAATTGCCCCGGGTCACCATAATAAAAAAATTCATACGTTCCCTAGCGCTCCTTTAGAGACGGATGGAAACTTAATCTGTTTGGGAAAGGAGGAAGTTTATTTGGGACTGGAAATAAAATTTCGAGGACAGGCCAATATCTTATGTTTTGGTAGAATTGAAAACGGAATTTTTTTGTTAATCTCAGCTGTAGGCCTACAGATATGAGCTATTTTCATGTTCAGAGTGTGCTAACATTTTTTTTTTAGTCAAATAACTTAATTGAATGAACGAAGTGAATTCTCATACTGGTGTAAAATGCATCTCATGTAAATCCAAAAACTCGAGAATGACTACGTATATGAAGTTGATGTTTTGCACAAAGGTTCTTTATCATATTATCTTGGTTAAGTTCGTTATTGGAGATTATTTGTTCAGTAATAATTATAAAATCCTAAAAAAACCATTTTAAT